ATAATACTAATATATTCTAAAAATAGTAGATTGTCATTGGCAACGGTAAAAGAGTGGAAACATCATTTGCAACTTGTTTGCAGAAATGTTGTTCACCTCTCGTAACTGCCGAACGGAAAGTCCGTTGTTCGCAGCCAGTCCGTTATTCGAGGCGTACGTTATACGAGGCACCACTGTATATATTAAGATTAGAGCAGTTAATGAATGTTTTACTGAGGAAGAAGTCATGTCTATTGAAATCCATATATGTCTCAAAAATGTTTACTAAGACACTACTATGGATGTGTGTATAATTAGACTTTGGATAAGACACTTTAAAAGCAGAGAAAGCAACATTCTGTCTTAAAGTGGTAATGATAACAAGTAATGACTATGATAGAAGAAAACAGAAGCTGATAAAAAAAAAAAAAAAAACAACAGTAGAAAGAAAGTATGCTACATCCTTACAGTTGAATTGTATGATGTAACAGATATAAGGAAACCTATTGTGATAGCCATCATAAGGAAACTATAACGTTTGTACCCAGTAAGTCCTAAAATTGCTGAAAGAAGAGCCAAAAAAAGGTCCAAAATTATTTGCATGGAATTACTTAAGCTCAACAAAAGTAAAAGACACTGTTTCTATTACAAACTTTTCAAAGGCTAAAAGAGTGAAAGAACAATGCAAAGTTATAGGTGACAAAACATGGGTCCATTATGTGCATGAAATGAAGACAGTCAATGGAATGGCATTATCAAATCTTAATGAAGCTGTTCTGTTCCATGACAAAACATCTCCAGACTAATCTGCACAAGGGAGGCCTTTACAAAAGTCAGTGTACTGTTCTTCCTCAATCTCCATAGCCTAAATCTTGCATCTTTTGATCATCACTTCTTTGATCTTTTAAAGTATTTAAAGGAATTCAAAAGAAAATATTTTGTTGATAAGGACCAACTCAAGCAGTGTTTGGAAAGTCTGGAGCCAGAGTAAATATTTTTATAGGATGGGAATATTATATAGTACCTTGACATGGAGATGAAATTGCACATAAAATGAAAGTTACTGTACTTTGTGGAAAAAATATGTTTTAACAAAGATTAATTGATGCAAAGAGTATTATTTTAGGAAATAAAGTTCCAGAAGAAAAAATATGAGGCATTACTTTCATACTGCATATTGTAATTAGATTTGTGCATAAACATGCATAAAAACACTAAACATAAATACTAAAATAAAAAATAAAAATCTTACTTTTAAACGATTAATCTCCATTTTTAATGTTGCAATTTCTGCTTTTTTACTTTCTGCATTCCTAACCAATTCAGAAACTTGCTGTTCAAGCATTCCTTTCTCTCTCTCTAGCTGTAATACAGTTGAATTTTCTAATAATTTTGAATGTGTATTTCTTCCACTAATGTATTTTCCTATATTCTCTTTTTCTCGTTCTTTCATGCCATTAGAATCTATATTGTCTTTACTAGTGGTGCGTTGCATGCTGCCACAATTACTCTTATTAGTTTTACGTCCTGCATGAACACTTTTTAAGCAATGAATGTTCTCCTTATTAACAGATCTAGTAGGTATGCTCTCTGATTTTGATTTTAATCCTGTTGAACCTGAAAGCTGAGATTTAACAGGAACAGATGTTTTACGACGTACTCCTGAACTTGAAAGGTTATCTTGACCACCAGATAATGGTGTAATGATTACTTTTTCGGAAGCAGAAGTTTTACATTTAACTGTACTGTTAGTGTTAGTATTATTATTCCTAGAGATTTCATTATTAGATACAGAAGTTTGATTATTAGATAAAGATGTTACATTCCCAGAATGGGTTTTTACATTTTCTCTGGCTTTGATATTCTTCATTGTGAAAGTGGATGGCACGTTTTGTCCCATCCAATCTTCTATCTAATAATGAACCTGGAAAAATGAATTTAATTATAATACCATATTATGCATATTAATATTGCTAACATTTTAATACATAAATAAAATGTAAGTTAAAGTTATTTCAGTAATCTATTAAAAATTTTATAATTTAGTTCAAAATATTCAATTTATTAAATTAAAATGATAATACGCCTAATAATCAGATCATTCTATTTCATGAGTGATATGATTACTAAACATTTATGAATACAATACTGTAGTAATATTCATTTTAAGAAAATATTTTTTTATAATCAGAAGAGATGTAAGGGCTTTTGGATAATTAAAACTTTTGATAAATTATGAAGTTATACTAGTAATTTTTGTAATAACAACAATAACATTGTAGAGAATTGATACCATAGATTTAGAAGTAAGAACCATTGAAGTATAAATCTTTATATATCTAAGACCTAAAGAATTTTACATTCTATTATTTTTAGCTTTTGAACTAAAAATATCATAGATCATGTCACTGAATGATAAAACTAGAAATTTGTAGTGATTATACCAACTGGTATTGTGATAGATTTTCTGAATATTACACATAGTTACTTAAAAATGGTGTTTTAGATGTACAGTGGTGCCTTGTATAACGTACTTAATCCGTTCCAGGTGCACGTCCGTTAAGTGAAAAGTCCGTTATACGAAACGCATTTTCCCATAGAAATACATGTTAAAACATATAATTCGTTCTGCAGCATAAAATAACCATACTGTACCATCAAAAAATGAAAATGGAGCAGTCACCAATTATGCCGGGTAGTCAGATGTTGTGAGGAGGAGGTGGTGAAACACTTTCTTCACACAGATACAGACTTTTTACACATTGCAGCGGGTCTCTTTTTATTGGTTTTTAATCGGAGTCAGATTCTGGAGAGGCTACCGGAACTTGCAGGGTCA